AAGAAGAAAAATACGTGTAAACAAACTAAAAAGGGGTAACAATTATTTTCCACTGCGTTATTTTGATAAAGATTTTAGAAATTATTCAAGCCTATTCACCCTCCTTCTAGACTTGAACCCCTACTCATTGGGACCAACAAAGCTTACTATGGTTTCAAGTAGTAATAATTCAAAGAAATTTACTAAACAAATGAATAACATTATTAATAATAAAAATAAATTAAAACAAGAAAAAGTGATTGGTATCTGTTAGGTGATTATCATAGCGTTAAATATATAATGTTGGAAATAATAAAGGAAAAAACTATCATTATTATGATAAACGCAAACAAATAATAAATAACTTAAATAAATTAGATAAAAAGATAAAAGAACTTGAAATTGAAGTTGTAGAAAAAAGATATGAATTACTAATAAATATGCGTACTTACCTTGTGAGGTATATCGCACATTGGGTAGAGATTATATTCTCTTTACCGTCAATTTGACTTGTTGTTGTGATAGTGGATTAAGATATTTGTTTAATGTCAATGAATCCAAAAAAAAAGCATCCTACAGAAAAAAAAAAAAAAAAAAAAAAAAAAAAAAAAAAAAAAGAGGGGAATGTTCAAGAAGCTTGATGAGCTCACCGTCCTTTGCGGTGTAGACACAGCTATAACCTTGTACAACTCTTTTAAGTTACGGCTAGTTGTATGGCTATCTATTGAAGAGGTTTAATAGAAAATTACTAGGTTCATAAACTTGCCAGATGTGCAACAAACTTAAAGAATGATGAGCCAGGAAAGCTTTGTTTTGGGGAGGATTCAAAAGTTGAGCATTAAACTCCTAAAGTGAAGAAAGACAATACGAAGAAGGAGATGAATGCATTGATGCATCGAATCTTTATTGGAGTGCGAACAATTGATTCTCTGAGTTTCATAGATCTAAACAACTTGGGTTGGGTTTTAACCACCAATTTGATAGAAATTCATAACAAGGTTGGGATAATTATGAGAGATTCCTCAACCTCATAATTATCAACTTTACCTCCAGCTCCAACTTTTGCTCTTTTTCTCCCTAGTGCTCCTTCTTGTAATTTTGCATTTTCTCTTTTTAAACAGATTAACAGGATTAATCAACTGACGAAATGGACTGACTGATTCAGCGATGATGTCAGTCAGTAATAACAAATCATAGAGAGGTTTAAAGAAAGGATAACAGCACAAAGCCAAAGACACAGAATGTTTACCCAGTTCGGTACATTGTGTATCTACGTCTGGGGGACGATCACATAGGCGTCGAATCCACTAAATCATAATCCAATGTACAAAGGTAGATATACAATAATCTTACCCAAGTGCCCCACACAAGGTACATACCCAGTCTACACAGGTTTAGTGGATTGTTGAAGGTGGAGAGCCATGCATACAGAAGTCCAATGAAATCCCTTCACTTGGAGAGCCCACTCTGATTCAGTCCACTTCAATGACGCTCTTTACAGTTGTTCCCACAACAGTGTGATCACAGTGTCCTTTCGTTTAAGTAGCAGTGATTCTTCTCAAGTTCGTCATCTTAATCACCATGAACATGTTGTATTGAGAAGAGGCAAGGTAATCAAAGATCTGATCTCATAAAATTGATGTGGAGTGTTTCTTCTCTCTAAAGGCGTAACCCTAATTCTCTTAGAATGAGGGTACTTATAGATCCATCGATAGAACACTCCTTCCATAGATGTCTTTGATTGTAAATGGTAGGACAATATTTGAAGAATGTAATCTTAAAGATTCGGTCCATACCTTTTCCGAAGCAGATACGCTGATCTTCTTTCCAAATCTGTCTTCTTTAAAACCGCGTACAGCTTTTAAGAAAACAGCTTCCTAAAACAGATCTTCAGTGTCAGTTCTTTTGTTATTGTATCTGATTGACCAGTCCTCTGTAGAACAAAACTGACACTAAGCTAATCCTATCTTAGTATTCCATAATAATATTGTCAATTATAAGATGGGGTTTTTTTCGAGCAAATAAAACATTAACAAACTCCCCATTTGGCTATTATTTGGCAAAACAACTCGACTATATAAGAAGAAGTATAATACTGCAAAAGATTAAGATAGGATAACAAAAACAAAACAGACCCTATATTCGATTGCATAGCAGGGATAAAAACATAGCATACACATCATGCTGGATCAAAAACAAAGACACGAAACATTCTTCAAACAAGAGATGCCATCACAGTCAAACACCCAGCCAGGGCCAGAAGGTACACAAACACAAACAACTCCCCCTGAGTTTCATAACAACTCCCCCTAAGTTTCATATTCCCCCTTTTTGCCAAAAGACAGCCAAAGCCAGGTCAAGCGTTGGAGGGAGTCTCACTGTCAGACTTCACAGGATCAGCAGCAGTAGCCTCAGTCAGGCTTAAACGAAGAAGAACAGTGGCCAATTCCGTGCGAGCCCCTGTCAGCTGTTTAGCAATTATGCCATGAACTGTCTCGAGCTCAGAGACTCTCGCCTTCAATTGGATAGAGAGTTGAAGATCTCGTGCATGTGGTGAGTCATCCGCCGCTGTATCAGTCTCAGGATTGGAGGGTGCAGTCACCGGTGTAACATCACATATATGATCTCCAATCAAAAGACGTCGGTTAACCGTGTAGAGAAGGGTCGGACTGATCACCTCACTCGCCATAGGCTCAAGGCCCTGTGATGTAAGAATTCCAAAGATCAAATTAAGAAAGGGCAGCCGTACCTTTTGTTCTCTCGGGTGAATCAAAGTGAGAATATGAGAATAGATCCACGACCCAAGATCAAAGGACATCTTGGTTCCAATTCTGAATAAAAGACTGGCCAGTTGCTTGCCGACAGTGTGGAAATGTGCCGAAGGGAGCCAGTTATGCAGAGCAAGACGGTGAAGAATCACATACTTGTCTTCCTCTACAGATGCTTTAAGCGACTCACTATTCAAGGGATCAGACTTCACAACAGGTAAGCATGGAGGATCAACAGATACAGATGATTTCTCAAAGACTAAAGCAGGCACATTCTCAAAATCAACATGAACAATAGATGGGGCAGCATTAGACACTACATTCTCAGGTTTATCAGGAGAAATTTCTATAGGAGAGTCAGAGGAATTTGACCTGTTTCGCAGAATCTCAATACGATGCCTGGCTTCATTCTGAGCAGCCTGAAGATACAGGGGTTGAGCAATTTCTCGACGACGGGAGATTTCTTCAGACTCAAGGGCTCTTTGAGCAAAGTAATGGAGGAACACCCCAGCGCGATTTCCATCAGAGGGTTCTGGAATAGATGCCGGATTAATGTCATCACCTGCTTCGGAGGCCAACAGCAATAGTTCACTGGTGTCATCATCTGACCAGTCGGCATAAAACTCTGGATAATCGGATAGTACAGTGACAATGATTTCATCTCGGAGAATGGGATCAAGCTTCAATTTTTTCTTCATAGGCCAACATAAGCAAGGTTTTGACATGTTTGGTGGCTGTTTCTTGTGAATGCACCTTTCTTCCAAGCTTGATGATCATATTACGAACTGCATCCGCCATTAATGAGAGATTCGAGAAGACGAAGAAGTAAACCCTAGATAGGAGATTAAGGAGAATACAGTCTGTGTGCAGAGAGAGTCTCTTGTTTTTTATCTCAAGACTTACTCGATACTCGATTATAGGACCAAGGGAGAAGAACCCCAATAAATGCAGCTAGTCAGAATACATGCAGAGCTGATGTGATTGACGCAACGGTATACCTCCTTTTTAGGCACGAAACGGATGCTTGGCATATTTCAAATTTGAAAAAGCCTAATCACTTTTATGGTAAAATAGGTTAAGATATTTTCTTAACAAAAAAGAGGAGATTTTAAAAGGAAGTCAAAACTGAGATTTGACCAGAATACGTAAACCTTGCACTCTCCTTCTGAGTGACGATCTGCCCTATTAGTCAATTCTGCAGATTCCCAGAGCAGATCTGAGAATCTCAAACCGGTTTGCGTCTAGGGGCTTAGTCAGGATATCTGCCAACTGTTTCTCTGTTTGAATATATTCCAACTCAATCTCCTTTGATTCTACCAGGTCTCTGATGTAGTGATGCCTTATATCTATATGCTTCGTCCTGGAATGTTGAACTGGATTCTTTGAGATATTAATTGCACTGACATTGTCACAATAGAGTGTCATAATTCCTTGAGTAAGACCATAGTCTAATAACATCTGTTTCATCCATACTAGCTGAGTACAACATCCACAAGCAGCTATGTATTCTGCCTCTGCAGTACTTAAGGAAATTGAGTTCTATTTCTTACTCAGCCATGACACCAAGTTCTTGCCAACGAAGAAGCAACCACCAGATATACTTTTACGGTCATCAATGTTCCCTGCCCAGTCAGCATCACAGTATGCAATCAGACTCAGTTCACTGTCCTTGGAGTACCATAGACCATACTGACTCGTTCTTTTTATATATTTCAGAATCCGTTTAGCAACTATGAGGTGTGATTCCTTTCACTACAAGAAAAAGCGCGAATCGCGACGGAATTTTTCCGTCGCGAATCGCGTTTCGCGACGGAATATATTCCGTCGTCTATCGCCTTGTCATTTTTTGGTAGACGATGGAATAATTCCGTCGCGACGTTTGGCGATGGAATTCGCGACGGACTATTTCCGTCGCCATTTGGCGACGGAATTATTCCGTCGCGAATTCCATCGACAATTTTGCAACGGAACTGTTTCCGTCGCAAATCCATCGTTATTTCTAAACCGAATATTCCATCGCCATATTATCTTTTCGGTCGCCAATTCCGTCGCTCATTTCACAACGGGAATATTTTCCATCGTAATTTTGTCGCTTCATGGGCAACAAATATTCCGTTACAAATCTTATATTCCGTCGCGTTTTTTAATTATTTTAAACTAAAATTTTGATTTTAAATAGTAATGGATGTTTTTAAAATAAAAGATAACATAATTCTAAATTAAATTAAAATACTAATACATTACCAATCCACATTTCATACATAATATAATCGTCAATTAAACTCTAAACAACATAATAATACATTATCAATCCACACTTAATACATAATATAATAGTCAATTCAAGTCTAAACAACATAATAATACATTATCAATCCACACTTAATACATAATATAATAGTCAATTCAAGTCTAAACAACATTAACAAACAACCATTAAAATCAATTGATTTGAGATGGAGGTGATGATGAAGTACCCGCTCTCCCGCCATCAATAGCATCAAGTCGTTGTTGCATATGGAGAATAGTTTCCTTCAAACTCTGAATTTCATGTTGTACATTTGCAGAAGTAGAAGTAGCATTGTCGGGTGGTCGCGATGTTGGTGTCATATTGCCAGAAGTGTTATCATTAGTTGGACCATGAACAACAGAACAACCATATGAACCAAGTCCATAAACTCTTCTTTTCTTATCGTGTCCACCAACCGCGTCATAGTATAATTGATTGTCATCCACCTGCTCCCCATTTTCTTGCAACATCTCCCGTTGCGATTCAACTTGTTCCTAAAATATGTTAGAGATTTAGTACAAAATATATGTAAAGGCATATATCTTTTAAAAACTTAAAACAAATTAAACCAAATTATACTTACATGAATTTGTTTGGCTTTTTCAACTATGAATGTTTGCCCATCGTGTTGTTTGGTATGTGTATACCTGAACAGTTCATAATACGATGGACAATGACCTAATTGTCCTTCCTACAAATTATATTTAACAAACAAAAGCAATTATTAAAGTAAGAAAAAATTCGGCAGAGTTTCCTTTGCAAACTCAATAAATGTTTCTAATCCTTCGATAAAAACTTGATTAAGATCACCACGTTGAGGTCGTCTTTGATACATCCAACTTCTATCCATATTACTCATTTATAGATGCCTACATATTTACACATATATTATCATGATTTTCAAAGTAATGATTATGCAATAGAAAAAGCAAAAAAGAAGCAATCAAATTAGTCCTTAGAGAAATGTTAATTGGACTTGTAACATACCGATCTTAGAGAAATGTTAATTGATAGGCTAACTATTTTACCAAACAAGGCCATTATTAATTATATCTTGTAATTTATACTAAATTTCTAAACTTTATATAAGCTTACCACTTATTTAATTATTGACTATTGTTTATTTTTTATTTTTAAAAAGAGATGAGAGATTGCAGTAACAAAAAAAAATAAAAAATAAAAAATAAAGGTCAGAATGTAACTATTGAAATCTATGGAGTGAAATTCTTTGATAAAAAAAAAAAGTCAAAAACCAATGATAAAACAAAAACACAGAAACATCCAATGAGTGTCACCTTATCTTCTTAATTTATGCAGAGGAATTGAGGCAACATCTACCAACCAGAGAATATATCATTATTTATAATAAGGCCTTGTGGTACTACAAGTAGTGCATCAACAGAAATTAAACATGTATAATTTCCAACACCCTCCCTTTATCTACTCTACTATCACCCACCTTTTCACACAGAATTGGGCAGAAATTCTTAACCATTTATGAACTGCAACATTTCAAGCCTTAAAAGACAAGACACAACCAACTACTTGCAGTCACCATACTTAGAAACAAATTAAAGCCTACCAATTGCAAGCATACAGGTTCAAAATTAAGAAGACAACATGCACCAGAAACTGCAATCCTAGTTCATTCCATCAATCATGTCTAGAATATTTAAAACTACTTCAGTCAAAAGAAACAAAAAACTGAATCAAATGTAATGAAGTTTAGAATAGGATAGTTTCACCTACAATAAATTTAGGATTCTATAATTGCATTTTACCGTTATTGAACTTTGATATACTGTCTTATATTATTTATTTTATATGCTAATGTTGACAATTCAGAATTTTAATGAATTTGTTCTCCATATTGCCTGACACAAGAGTAACATTTGACATAATCTTAACCACAAGAATTTTTTGTGCCATGTGAGAAAGGGAATCTCATAATCGATCAAGTAAACAAGAAATGTTAAGGCCACAAAATAGAAAACAAAATAGGCCCTGCTGCTTTCATTCCCAGTGAGTGGATGAGATATTATAACAATCATTCTCATGCAATTGAAAATCTCTACTTTTAATTTTTAAGAGTAACACAATAAAGGACTGATAAGAATCTGATTTTCCAACAATCATTTTTACAAAAATGAAGCTTTCGTAAAGCCCTCAGCTCATATAGTCATCCTTCCAAATATTTTACGACATGATTCCTTAATAATATTGTGTATGTTTCATTGCTTCTAAAGCTCTGAGTAGTTCCAACTAGAATTCATACAACATCCCTTAAGAACAACCAAAAATGATATAGAGGACAAAAAACTAAATGAAACATAAATATTGCAAAGAACACATTGGAAGTTCAAAGTCACTGTTTAAGCTGAAAAGAGCTTTTCATATCAGAAACAAATGAGACTTAAACACAACTATAAAAATCTTGACTGTACAAATTAAAGCTAACAAAAATTAATTCTTCCATATTTAATGTTAATTAATGTAGAATAATTATTCCTAGGAAGATAAGCAAACGCACTAAAGTGATTGGCATAAGGCTAAAATGGGAGAAAGAATCAGCTGAGGGGATTAGAGAAAGAGTGATTTTGGAACCTTTAGAGGCTTTAATTTGGGACAGTCGGCTTCAATTCCTCAGCTCCTCCATAGCACCTTAGCTTTTCTTTCTTTTTACCCTTAATCAGAAATCAACTCTCTGTGTTTGGCAAAGATTACGAGATGAACAACACTTTTAGATTACTTTAGCTAATAACTCAAGACTTGGACGGCACCAGACAACACTAAACCACTAAATTTACTTCAAAAAAATATATTACCTGAGATGAATTACCAGACGGATGAGGCAGTCACGGATGGCAACGGAGCTCTGCTGCGACAGCGACGGCGACGGAGTAGGACTGGCGTTCTGCGATGGTCGTTCTGCGTCGATGGAGTGAACTTAGGGTTTTTATTATCCTTTGATTTGATTTGATGAGGCAACTTAGGAGTGAAACGGTGAAACGGTGAAACTTAGGCAACTTAAGTCTGACTTTGAAACGGTGAAATATAGATAATATAAAAGCATAATTTTTTTAAAAAAATATTGCGACGGAATTAATTAGGTCGTTAATTCCGTCGCGACATTTAGTCAAAACATCACAAATTATTTATTTCATGACGCAAAAAATTATGTCGCCATTTCGGTCGTTAATTCGCGACGGAAATAATATCGGTTGCTATTCCGTCGCGAAATGGACGACGAAATTTAATTCCGTCGCAAATTCGGTCGTAATATTTTACCGCCAAGCTTTCGCGGGTTTTATTTTCTCTTTGCGCCAAACATCGCGACGGAATTAATTATCGTCGTGAATTCCGTTGTTAAATTGCAACGGAAATTATTCCGTCGCGATATCCATCGCTATATTGCGACGGAACAGTGTCCGTCGCGATTTTCCATCGCGATTCGCGATTTTTCTTGTAGTGTTTAGATCAGATTGATACCTTGCACATATTCCAATTTTGATCACACAGCTGACTGATGCTAATCAGATTAGCTTTCAACCCACTGACTAACAGAACTTCTTCTAATTGAGGAAAACCTGGTACATTCAGGGTACATTTCCCAACTATTTTTCCTTTTTGTCCATCTCCATATGTTACAGCTCCACTGCTTGGTTGAACAGCCATCAGACACTTTACATTTCCAGTCATATGTCTGGAACAGCCACTGTCGAAATACCATTTAGCTTCAGTTGTAGACGCAGTCAGAACTATAGTGGGGTAGCATATAACTTCTGACTTTCTGACCCAAACCTGTCTAGTAAACGGTGTAATAGACTTATTCTGATATTTTTCCTTCCTTTGATCTCTGTAGAAAAAATAACACACAGGCCGAGTATGACCTTTTGTTTGACAGTAGTGATAAATGGTAGTGTAATGTCTAACTCTGGCAAGCTTATTTTTTAACCTTGAATAATGAGATTGATGGGTTACTTTGGCAAGGTTAGTATCTGCAGTCTGGTCATATCTCCTTCTCTTGTCAATTTTCTGCACTGACCGAGATGACTGTCCTTGTTCAAAACTGGGAACTGCTGTGGTCTTAAACATACCCTCTTTGACAAACATAGGTGCATTATTCGAAGATTCACCTCGTTCAAATCCTAGACCTTTTTTATCATTAGGATTTCTGCCAGAGTCTAGAATCTTGTCTAAGGTTGATGTGGTGTCCATCATCTGGATATTTTTCTTCAGACCCTCCAGTTCCATTATCAGTTTTCCTTCTCTGGATCTTATTTGAGTGATGAGATCTTCTTTTATGACAAGGTCTGTATTCAGTTTTTTTAGAAGATCATCCCATTGCTTCAGTTCGTCATTCAGATTTTTATTGACTTTCACTACTTGTTCCCAGCTTGCAACAAGTTTAGCAAATTCTATTTCAAGTTGAGTATGTCTCTCTTCAAAATCATCAGTTGATATGTAAGATTCTTCATCTGATTGGTTTCCGTCTGACTGAATGCCTATAGCTGTAAAGAAGGCTACAAAGTTTCCCACATTATCATCTGATTGATCATTGTATGTTTCCTCCTCATCATCACTTAATGTAGTTACTGACATAGCCTTTTTCCTCTTGAGATGCGTTGCACATTCAGCCTGTATGTGTCCATATCCTTCACTTTCTCTACACTGCACTGACCGGTTGAGGGACTTCCCTGTATCTGTGGAACTGTTTCTGTTCTGTCTTGTTCGACCAGTCTGAGATTGATTGTTCTGTGAAAAAGGAGTTGTTTCGGCTTTCTGATATGAGGAGTTGTTGCCTTTGTGTTGTGTCCTAGTGGGCTGACCTTGACTCCTTCTGTTGAAACCTTTTAATATTTTCTTGAAATTCTTGGTTAGAAGTGCCAAGGTTTCATCATCTATGTCGTCTGTGTCAGATTCTCAATCAGCCTCAGCTACAAAAGCCATTGACTTTCCTTTTCTATTGCTTGCAAGATCATCATCAGCAAGCACTTCTAGTTCATATGTGTGTAAGCTTCCCATAAGTTCTCCGACAGTCTTCTTTTCCCAACCTGTGTGTTCCTGAATAGCAGTTACTTTCATCCGGAAGTGTTTAGGCAAAGATCGAAGGATCTTTTTGACTACACTCTCATCAGTGAATGGTTCACCAAGAATTGGGGCTCTGTTCATCAGATTCTGAACCCGACTGTGAAAGGTCGAAATGGTTTCCTCTTCATTCATTCTAAGGACTTCGAATTCTGACAGTACCATTTGTAGCTTTGACTGCTTGACATCACTAGTTCCCTCAAATCTGGTTTCAAGAATTTCCCATACACGTTTAGCTTCTTTTACCCCGGTGACAAGAGTAAAAACATATTCATGCAGAGATCCTACAATCGAGTTCAATGCTTTGTTGTTTAGATCAGAGACATTCATTTCATCGTCTATCCAAGTCTCCATGGGCTTATCTCCAGTGGTTCCGTCCTCATTTTGAACAGTTGGACGGCTCCACCCAGTTAGGACAGTACGATAAACCCTGGTACCTTGTGCTTGGAGATATATCTCCATGCGAGTCTTCCAGAATGAGTAGTTGTGACCATCTAGTTCTGGTGGTTTCATACTTGCATCCATCCTGAACAAAAATAACCAGCCAACGAACACACATAGAGGCACTTCCAAAAGACAGAGAACAATGCAAAACTAAAACAACCCGTACGGATCAAGTCACTATCTAGACTTAAAAGCTCTGATACCACATGTAATTTTGCATTTTCTCTTTTTAAACAGATTAACTGGATTAATCAACTAACGAAATGGACTGACTGATTCAGCAATGATGTTAGTCAGTAATAACAAATCATAGAGAGGTTTAAAGAAAGGATAACAGCACAAAGTCAAAGACACAGAATGTTTACCTAGTTCGATACATTGTGTATCTACGTATGGGGGACGATCACATAGGCGTCCAATCCACTAAATCATAATCCAATGTACAAGAGTAGATATACAATAATCTTACCCAAGTGGCCCACACAAGGTACATACCCAGTCTACACAGGTTTAGTGGATTGTTGAAGGTGGAGAGCCATGCATACAGAAGTCCAATGAAATCCCTTCACTTGGATAGCTCACTCTGATGCAGTCCACTTCAATGACGCTCTTTACAGTTGTTCCCACAACAGTGTGATCACAGTGTCCTTTCGTTTAAGCAGCAGTGATTCTTCTCAAGTTCGTCATCTTAATCACCATGAACATGTTGTATTGAGAATAGGCAAGGTAATCAAAGATCTGATCTCATAAAATTGATGTGGAGTGTTTCTTCTCTCTAAAGGCGTAACCCTAATTCTCTTAGAATGAGGGTACTTATAAATCCATCGATAGAACACTCCTTCCATAGATGTCTTTGATTGTAGATGGTAGGACAATATTTGAAGAATGTAATCTTAAAGATTCGGTCCATACCTTTTCCAAAGCAGATACGCTGATCTTCTTTCCAAATCTGTCTTCTGTAAAACCGCGTACAGCTTTTAAGAAAACAGCTTCCTAAAACATATCTTCAGTGTTAGTCCTTCTGTTGTTGTATCTGATTGATCAGTCCTCTGTAGAACAAAACTAACACTAAGCTAATCCTATCTTAGTATGCCATAATAATATTCCCAATTATAAGATTGGGTTTTTTTTGAGCAAATAAAACACTAACACTTCTCATGCTATTGCTTCACCCTCTTCTTTTGGGATTGGGACTAGCAATGTTGTGGCTCCTGCAGATGTACTTTTTGAGAAAAACCATTAAGGCAGCATGGGTACGCAAACTTACCCAACTTAATTAGAGAAACCGTGGTTGAGCACTTCCCAAAATCCTTAAGTTTCTGCATACATCTTTAATATTATTGGTTGTTTAAATTTATGTATTGAAAATAGCCTAATGCATCTATAGATTTCATGCATTTTCATATGTTTTTATGGGTTTAGGGATTAGGGTTTATGAAATAAAATAAGAATTCCTGTTAATTACTTCATCTTCTTCTTTAAAAAAAAAAAAAAAAAAAAAAGACTTTGAGTATAAAGTTGAGTTGTAATGGTCCTACCCTCCCCCAATTGGGAAGGATTTTGGGCAACTCAAATTTATACTCAAGTATTTTTTTAAGAAGAAGAATAAGAAGTAACGGGACTTCTTATTTTATTTCATAAACCATAAACCCTAAACCCATAAAAACATATGAAAATGTATGAAATCTATAGATGTATTAGGCTATTCCCAATACATAAATTTACACAACCATAATATTAGAGATGTATGTAGAAACTTCAAGGATTTTGAGAGGTGCTCAACTCTGGTCTCTCTAAGTTGGGCGAGTTTCCATACCCACGCAGCCTTAATAGTTTATCCGAAAAAGTACATACGCAGGAGCCACCACATTGCTAGTCCCAATCCAAAAGCAGAAGGTGAAGCAGTAGCATGAGAAAGAGCACCAAGGAGAAAATTAGCCAGAGTTGGAGCTGGAACTAAAGCTGATAATGTTGAGGTTGAGAAATCTCTCATAATTGTCTCAACCCTGTTATGAATTTCTATCAAATTGGTGGTTAAAACCGAACCCAAGTTGTTTAGATCTATGAAACGCAAAATCAATTGTTAACTCACCAGTAAAGATTCGATGCATCAATGCATTCATCTCCCTCTCCCTGTTGTCTTTCTTCACTTTTAAGAGTTTAATGCTCAACTTTTGAATCCTCCCCAAAGCAAAGCTTTCCTGGCTCATCACTCTTCATGTTTGTTGCACATCTGGCGAGTTCATGAATCCAACAATTCTCTGTTGAACCTCTTCAATAGATGACCATACAACTGGCCCTAACTCAAAAGAGTTATACATTATTATAGCAGCATCTACACCGCAAAGGGCGGTGAGCTCATCAAGCTTTTTGAACACCCCCCTCTTTCTTTTTTCTTTTTTTTTTTTTTTGTAGGATGCGTTTTCTTTTGGATCGTTGACGATATACGAAAATCTTAATCTTCTCCTAGCCATTCTT